TTTTTCTGTATGACGTCATAACCTGACGTGTGTCTAGTTTAGGGATGCTGCTTGGGTTATGGTTAGGGTTGCTGCTTGGGTTAGGGTTGCTGCTTGGGTTAGGGTTGCTGCTTGGGTTAGGGTTAGGGTTGCTGCTTGGGTTATGGTTAGGGTTAGGGTTAGGGTTGCTGCTTGGGTTATGGTTAGGGTTGCTGCTTGGGTTAGGGTTGCTGCTTGGGTTAGGGTTGCTGCTTGGGTTAGGGTTAGGGTTGCTGCTTGGGTTAGGGTTAGGGTTGCTGCTTGGGTTATGGTTAGGGTTGCTGCTTGGGTTAGGGTTAGGGTTGCTGCTTGGGTTAGGGTTAGGGTTGCTGCTAGGGTTAGGGTTGCTGCTTGGGTTATGGTTAGGGTTGCTGCTTGGGTTATGGTTAGGGTTGCTGCTTGGGTTAGGGTTAGGGTTGCTGCTAGGGTTAGGGTTGCTGCTTGGGTTATGGTTAGGGTTGCTGCTTGGGTTATGGTTAGGGTTGCTGCTTGGGTTATGGTTAGGGTTGCTGCTTGGGTTATGGTTGCTGCTTGGGTTATGGTTAGGGTTGCTGCTTGGGTTAGGGTTAGGGTTGCTGCTTGGGTTAGGGTTAGGGTTGCTGCTTGGGTTATGGTTAGGGTTGCTGCTTGGGTTATGGTTAGGGTTGCTGCTTGGGTTAGGATTAGGGTTGCTGCTTGGGTTAGGGTTGCTGCTTGGGTTAGGGTTGCTGCTTGGGTTAGGATTAGGGTTGCTGCTTGGGTTATGGTTATGGTTGCTGCTTGGGTTATGGTTAGGGTTGCTGCTTGGGTTAGGGTTGCTGCTTGGGTTAGGGTTAGGGTTGCTGCTTGGGTTAGGGTTGCTGCTTGGGTTAGGGTTAGGGTTGCTGCTTGGGTTATGGTTAGGGTTGCTGCTTGGGTTATGGTTAGGGTTGCTACTTGGGTTAGGGTTGCTGCTTGGGTTAGGGTTGCTGCTTGGGTTAGGGTTAGGGTTGCTGCTTGGGTTATGGTTAGGGTTGCTGCTTGGGTTAGGGTTGCTGCTTGGGTTATGGTTGCTGCTTGGGTTAGGGTTGCTGCTTGGGTTATGGTTAGGGTTGCTGCTTGGGTTAGGGTTGCTGCTTGGGTTATGGTTAGGGTTACTGCTTGGGTTAGGGTTGCTGCTTGGGTTAGGGTTGCTGCTTGGGTTAGGGTTAGGGTTGCTGCTTGGGTTATGGTTAGGGTTGCTGCTTGGGTTAGGGTTGCTGCTTGGGTTAGGGTTGCTGCTTGGGTTAGGGTTAGGGTTGCTGCTTGGGTTATGGTTAGGGTTAGGGTTAGGGTTGCTGCTTGGGTTAGGGTTAGGGTTGCTGCTTGGGTTATGGTTAGGGTTGCTGCTTGGGTTATGGTTAGGGTTGCTGCTTGGGTTATGGTTAGGGTTGCTGCTTGGATTATGGTTAGGGTTGCTGCTTGGGTTATGGTTAGGGTTGTTGCTTGGGTTATGGTTAGGGTTGCTGCTTGGGTTAGGGTTAGGGTTGCTGCTTGGGTTAGGGTTGCTGCTTGGGTTATGGTTGCTGCTTGGGTTAGGGTTGCTGCTTGGGTTATGGTTAGGGTTGCTGCTTGGGTTAGGGTTGCTGCTTGGGTTATGGTTAGGGTTGCTGCTTGGGTTAGGGTTGCTGCTTGGGTTATGGTTAGGGTTGCTGCTTGGGTTAGGGTTGCTGCTTGGGTTAGGGTTGCTGCTTGGGTTAGGGTTGCTGCTTGGGTTATGGTTAGGGTTGCTGCTTGGGTTAGGGTTGCTGCTTTGGTTAGGGTTGCTGCTAGGGTTAGGGTTGCTGCTTGGGTTATGGTTAGGGTTGCTGCTAGGGTTAGGGTTGCTGCTTGGGTTATGGTTAGGGTTGCTGCTTGGGTTATGTTTAGGGTTGCTGCTTGGGTTAGGGTTAGGGTTGCTGCTTGGGTTATGTTTAGGGTTGCTGCTTGGGTTAGGGTTAGGGTTGCTGCTTGGGTTAGGGTTAGGGTTGCTGCTTGGGTTATGGTTAGGGTTGCTGCTAGGGTTAGGGTTGCTGCTTGGGTTATGGTTAGGGTTGCTGCTTGGGTTAGGGTTAGGGTTGCTGCTTGGGTTAGGGTTAGGGTTGCTGCTTGGGTTATGTTTAGGGTTGCTGCTTGGGTTAGGGTTAGGGTTGCTGCTTGGGTTATGGTTAGGGTTGCTGCTTGGGTTATGGTTAGGGTTGCTGCTTGGGTTATGGTTAGGGTTGCTGCTTGGGTTATGGTTAGGGTTGCTGCTTGGGTTAGGGTTAGGGTTGCTGCTTGGGTTAGGGTTGCTGCTTGGGTTAGGGTTGCTGCTTTGGTTAGGGTTGCTGCTTGGGTTAGGGTTGCTGCTTGGGTTATGGTTAGGGTTGCTGCTTGGGTTAGGGTTAGGGTTGCTGCTTGGGTTATGGTTAGGGTTGCTGCTTGGGTTATGGTTAGGGTTGCTGCTTGGGTTAGGGTTAGGGTTGCTGCTTGGGTTAGGGTTGCTGCTTGGGTTAGGGTTGCTGCTTGGGTTATGTTTAGGGTTGCTGCTTGGGTTATGGTTAGGGTTGCTGATTGGGTTAGGGTTAGGGTTGCTGCTTGGGTTAGGGTTAGGGTTGCTGCTTGGGTTAGGGTTGCTGCTTGGGTTATGGTTAGGGTTGCTGCTTGGGTTATGGTTATGGTTGCTGCTTGGGTTATGGTTAGGGTTGCTGCTTGGGTTAGGGTTGCTGCTTGGGTTATGGTTAGGGTTGCTGCTTGGGTTAGGGTTGCTGCTTGGGTTATGGTTAGGGTTGCTGCTTGGGTTATGGTTAGGGTTGCTGCTTGGGTTAGGGTTGCTGCTTGGGTTAGGGTTAGGGTTGCTGCTTGGGTTAGGGTTAGGGTTGCTGCTTGGGTTAGGGTTAGGGTTGCTGCTAGGGTTAGGGTTGCTGCTTGGGTTATGGTTAGGGTTGCTGCTTGGGTTAGGGTTGCTGCTTGGGTTAGGGTTAGGGTTGCTGCTTGGGTTATGGTTAGGGTTGCTGCTTGGGTTAGGGTTGCTGCTTGGGTTAGGGTTAGGGTTGCTGCTTGGGTTATGGTTAGGGTTGCTGCTTGGGTTATGGTTAGGGTTGCTGCTTGGGTTAGGGTTAGGGTTGCTGCTTGGGTTAGGGTTGCTGCTTGGGTTAGGGTTGCTGCTTTGGTTAGGGTTGCTGCTTGGGTTAGGGTTGCTGCTTGGGTTATGGTTAGGGTTGCTGCTTGGGTTAGGGTTAGGGTTGCTGCTTGGGTTATGGTTAGGGTTGCTGCTTGGGTTATGGTTAGGGTTGCTGCTTGGGTTAGGGTTAGGGTTGCTGCTTGGGTTAGGGTTGCTGCTTGGGTTAGGGTTGCTGCTTGGGTTATGTTTAGGGTTGCTGCTTGGGTTATGGTTAGGGTTGCTGCTTGGGTTAGGGTTAGGGTTGCTGCTTGGGTTAGGGTTAGGGTTGCTGCTTGGGTTAGGGTTGCTGCTTGGGTTATGGTTAGGGTTGCTGCTTGGGTTATGGTTATGGTTGCTGCTTGGGTTATGGTTAGGGTTGCTGCTTGGGTTAGGGTTGCTGCTTGGGTTATGGTTAGGGTTGCTGCTTGGGTTAGGGTTGCTGCTTGGGTTATGGTTAGGGTTGCTGCTTGGGTTATGGTTAGGGTTGCTGCTTGGGTTAGGGTTGCTGCTTGGGTTAGGGTTAGGGTTGCTGCTTGGGTTAGGGTTAGGGTTGCTGCTTGGGTTAGGGTTAAGGTTGCTGCTAGGGTTAGGGTTAGGGTTGCTGCTTGGGTTAGGGTTGCTGCTTGGGTTATGGTTAGGGTTGCTGCTTGGGTTAGGGTTGCTGCTTGGGTTAGGGTTGCTGCTTGGGTTAGGGTTAGGGTTGCTGCTTGGGTTATGGTTAGGGTTGCTGCTTGGGTTAGGGTTGCTGCTTGGGTTAGGGTTAGGGTTGCTGCTTGGGTTATGGTTAGGGTTGCTGCTTGGGTTAGGGTTGCTTCTTGGGTTATGGTTAGGGTTGCTGCTTGGGTTAGGGTTGCTGCTTGGGTTATGGTTAGGGTTGCTGCTTGGGTTATGGTTAGGGTTGCTGCTTGGGTTAGGGTTAGGGTTGCTGCTTGGGTTAGGGTTAGGTTTGCTGCTTGGGTTAGGGCTGCTGCTTGGGTTATGGTTAGGGTTGCTGCTTGGGTTATGGTTAGGGTTGCTGCTTGGGTTAGGGTTAGGGTTGCTGCTTGGGTTATGGTTAGGGTTGCTGCTTGGGTTATGGTTAGGGTTGCTGCTTGGGTTAGGGTTAGGGTTGCTGCTTGGGTTATGGTTAGGGTTGCTGCTTGGGTTAGGGTTAGGGTTGCTGCTTGGGTTATGGTTAGGGTTGCTGCTTGGGTTAGGGCTGCTGCTTGGGTTATGGTTAGGGTTGCTGCTTGGGTTATGGTTAGGGTTGCTGCTTGGGTTAGGGTTAGGGTTGCTGCTTGGGTTATGGTTAGGGTTAGGGTTAGGGTTGTTGCTTGGGTTATGGTTAGGGTTGCTGCTTGGGTTATGGTTAGGGTTGCTGCTTGGGTTAGGGTTAGGGTTAGGGTTGCTGCTTGGGTTATGGATAGGGTTGCTGCTTGGGTTAGGGTTGCTGCTTGGGTTAGGGTTAGGGTTGCTGCTTGGGTTAGGGTTGCTGCTTGGGTTATGGTTAGGGTTGCTGCTTGGGTTATGGTTAGGGTTGCTGCTTGGGTTAGGGTTGCTGCTTGGGATAGGGTTGCTGCTTGGGTTATGGTTAGGGTTGCTGCTTGGGTTAGGGTTAGGGTTGCTGCTTGGGTTAGGGTTAGGGTTGCTGCTTGGGTTATGGTTAGGGTTGCTGCTTGGGTTATGGTTAGGGTTGCTGCTTGGGTTAGGGTTGTTGCTTGGGTTATGGTTAGGGTTGTTGGTTGAGGCTTAGGTTAAACTAGAACATTTTGTTTCATTGAATTCCATGTTGCAGTTATGTTAGGTTAATGACCTAACGCTTACAATAACCCAAGGTCTATGACCTCAAGAGATCGCACTCAACTTCTTGTTCTCTGTTCACCAGACGACCATCTCTAGACCACAGCTAGAGAGGGATGGTAGCGACAGGTCTCTTGAACAGATGGCGATGGTACCATCACGAATGTCGCGGGACCGATCCAAGTGGATTATTTTACATTACTCGCCCTTTAAGGTATTTAATTTTTTCATACCAAATGTTTACACTACATCAGCCCTAACTTATACAACATTAGCCCTAACTTCTTTATACAACATTAGCCGTAATCTCCTTATACAACATTAGCTCTAACTTCTTTATACAACATTAGCCGTAATCTCCTTATACAACATTAGCCCTAACCTTGTACAACATTGCCCTAGCTTCTTTATACAACATTAGCTCTAACTTCTTTATACAACATTTGCTCTAACCTTATACAACATCAGCTCTAACTTATTTCTACAACATTAGCCCTAAACTCCTTATACAACATTAGCTCTAACTTCTTTATGCAACATTAGCAACATTAGCCCTAACTTATTTATACATTAGCCCTAACCTCCATATTCAACATTAGCCCTAAACTCCTTATACAACATTAGTTCTAACTTCTTTATACAACATTAGCCCTAGCTTCTTTATACAACATTAGCTCTAACTTCTTTATACAACATTTGCTCTAACCTTATACAACATCAGCTCTAACTTCTTTCTACAACATTAGCCCTTAACTTCCTTATCCAACATTAGCTCTAACTTCTTTATACAACATTAGCCCTAACTTCTTTATACAACATTAACCGTAATCTCCTTATACAACATTAGCCCTAACCTTAAACAACATGAGCCCTAGCTTCTTTATACAACATTAGCTCTAACTTCTTTATACAACATTAGCTCTAACTTCTTTATGCAACATTAGCCCTAAACTCCTTATACAAAATTAGTTCTAACTTCTTTATACAACATTAGCCCTAAACTCCTTATACAACATTAGCTCTAACTTCTTTATACAACATTAGCCTTAACTTTCTTATACAACATTAGCTCTAACTTCTTTATACAACATTAGCCCTAAACTCCTTATACAACATTAGCTCTAACTTCTTTATACAACGTTAGCCTTAACTTCCTTATACAACATTAGCCATAACATACTAATACAACATTAGCCCTAATCCTAACACTCCCAACTTATTTATAACATTTATTTACACACATTTATTTAAAGACGATAATAAAATTCAGAATCACTCCTATAATTTTATTAACGAAGAATGAATACTTAATTTCTCTGAACTTCAAAGCCAGATGACGACCTATGAAAAAATATACCTGCTGATTGGTGTGTTTGACGGATTACAATGCATTGTTTTCTGTAGGTTATAGATTTAATGATATATCTGATTGTTATTGAAATTGGTTTTCAACACTATTATCCATTTTCAATAAGATAAACTCGAAAGTTTTTTTAATCCCAGAATAGAAACTATTTTGTACCGATAAACAAGAAACTAGAACTATGAACTAAAAGGGCAGCCTACAAAAAATTCATTAGTTTAAAAAGTATGAAAACTATATGAATGGTTAAGTATTTACATTGAACTATTGCAGGCCTTAAATTGTTTATATAGGCCTAGCAATGGAATAAGTTCAATAATAAATTTAAAATAATATTTTGGCGTAATTTGATTTTATTCTTAGGAGAGGCCGCCGTTACGTGGAATAAACAAATAATTTAATAAGATACATATTATATAGTACCAAGACACATGATGTCCTCACCTAAATATCAGCCACATACCACACATACCACACATACCACACATACCACACATACCACACATACCACACATACCACACATACCACACATACCACACATACCACACATACCACACATACCACACATACCACACATACCACACATACCACACATACCACACATATCACACATACCACACATATCACACATACCACACATACCACACATACCACACATACCACACATACCACACATACCACACATACCACACATACCACACATACCACACATACCACACATACCACACATACCACACATACCACACATATCACACATACCACACATACCACACATACCACACATACCACACATACCACACATACCACACATACCACACATACCACACATACCACACATATCACACATACCACACATACCACACATACCACACATACCACACATACCACACCTACCACACATACCACTATTACGTAACTCTATCACTGATAAATATTACGTAACTCCCGAATTCTTTTGGATGGTTCTAGACTGACAAACTAGGTCATCAACACACCAGACCCCAAAAAACAACAGGTTTACCATAGTAACTCATTAAAAAAGTACTATGATTTTATTACAGTATGTGTTTCTGATAAAACTGATGATGTTATCCATGATAAACTTAAACCATCAAAATTGTTAAACTCATCATTTTTGTCTAATCTAGATGAGAAATTTGTTCATTTACCCACTAATGAGAATCAGAAATTGTCTCAATTGATTAATACATTTCCTTCCATTTTTGGTGATATTCTTAAAGAAGGAAACGTTCCCCCTCATGATGTTGATGTAGGTGATGCCAAACCTGTGAAACAGCATCCTTACAGAGTTAACCCAGAAAAAGCTGAAAAACATAGTAGGAGAAAAAGTTACAGGAAAAAAACAGTAAAAAAACAGAAAAAAAAACAGATGCAAGTCACAGGAAAAATGTCATAAATATGTGAATTTGCATGCATTTGGTAATACTTTTAAGTATTACATATTCAGAAAGTGCAAATCAAGTTACGATTAACTTAATGTATGTGCGAAGGTTGTATACGTAATATTTATAACACAAGTAAAAATATTTAGTATGAAGTATACAGATTTTTATTTCGTTATACATATAATATTCAATCGAATTTAACAGACTGTTCCCACATTCTCGGTTTTCATCGAGTTTTTTAAATACTAAATTAGCGTGAAATGGCGTAGCAACGTAGTTAATGTGAAGTTCTGCCCTCATCTCATAGCAACAATAGTTCAACCACCTTTACTGTCCACATTTGTCACGCACATTACATAACAAAGCATGAATGAAAACAGAAAGCCGATACAATACAAAGGCTGTCATTGACGTGAAACGCATCCAACACACAATATTGATGGGACAAGGCCGACTGAGGAAAAGCCGACCAAGAAAGAGCACTAATAATAATAGTAAAAATTCACTAAAAAGTAGAAAATAAATTATACACTACTATTTCAATTACTATAAAAAAAGCGTGAGTCACTTAAGTATCTATTGGATACTGTTACTAATATTTAGCAAGAAATAAAACTATAATGACAGTACTTTTAAAATGTTGCTTTGAGATATTTTGTTTGAGATCATTTGTACATAGTATCATTTGTCCTGATATATTTTGTCCTGGTATCTTTCGTCCGTGAGGTCATTTGTCCTGAGATCATTTGTCCTGAGATCATTTATCCGTGAGATATTTTGTCTGAGATATTTTGTCTGAGATCATTTGCCCTGTCACCAAACACACAGATAACACAAAACACACAGCTGACAACCCTAAACACACAACTCACAACCCTAAACACACAGCTCACAACCCTAAACACACAACTCACAACCCTAAACACACAACTCACAACCATAAACACACAACTCACAACCCTAAACACACAACTCACAACCATAAACACACAACTCACAACCCTAAACACACAAGTCACAACCCTAAACACACATCTCACAACCATAAACACACAACTCACAACCATAAACACACAACTCACAACCCTAAACACACAACTCACAACCCTAAACACACAACTCACAACAATAAACACACAACTTACAATCCTAAACACACAACTCACACCCCTAAACACACAACTCACAACCCTAAACACACAACTCACAACCCTAAACACACAACTCACAACCCTAAACACACAACTCACAACCATAAACACTCAACTCACAACCATAAACACACAACTCACAACCCTAAACACACAACTCACAACCCTAAACACACAACTCACAACCCTAAACACACATCTCACAACCATAAACACACATCTCACATCCCTAAACACACAACTCACACCCCTAAACACACAACTCACAACCCTAAACACACAACTCACAACCCTAAACACACAACTCACAACCCTAAACACACAACTCACAACCCTAAACACACAACTCACAACCCTAAACACACATCTCACATCCCTAAACACACATCTCACAACCCTAAACACACAACTCACAACCCTAAACACACATCTCACAACCCTAAACACACAACTCACACCCCTAAACACACAAGTCACAACCCTAAACACACATCTCACAACCATAAACACACAACTCACAACCATAAACACACAACTCACAACCCTAAACACACAACTCACAACCCTAAACACACAACTCACAACAATAAACACACAACTTACAATCCTAAACACACAACTCACACCCCTAAACACACAACTCACAACCCTAAACACACAACTCACAACCCTAAACACACAACTCACAACCCTAAACACACAACTCACAACCATAAACACTCAACTCACAACCATAAACACACAACTCACAACCCTAAACACACAACTCACAACCCTAAACACACAACTCACAACCCTAAACACACATCTCACAACCATAAACACACATCTCACATCCCTAAACACACAACTCACACCCCTAAACACACAACTCACAACCCTAAACACACAACTCACAACCCTAAACACACAACTCACAACCCTAAACACACAACTCACAACCCTAAACACACATCTCACAACCCTAAACACACATCTCACATCCCTAAACACACATCTCACAACCCTAAACACACAACTCACAACCCTAAACACACATCTCACAACCCTAAACACACAACTCACACCCCTAAACACACAACTCACAACCCTAAACACACAACTCACAACCCTAAACACACAACTCACAACCCTAAACACACAACTCACAACCCTAAACACACAACTCACAAAACAAGGAGACATACAACACACCCGCTGTCACTCGAACAGTCGCTTCCCGTTTTACGTTCGTTCACATTACGTATGAATGTTATGCTTCCCTAATTCTCACGTAGAGATGTTATGCTGCCCAAATTCTCATGTATGGATGTTATGCTGCCCAAATTCTCATGTATGGATGTTATGCTGCCCAAATTCTCATGTATGGATGTTATGCTGCCCTAATCCTAATTCTCATGTATGGATGTTAAGCTGACCTAACCATAATTCTCATGTATGGATGTTATGCTGCCCTAATTCTCACGTATGAATTTTATGCTGCCCTAATTCTCACGTAGAGATGTTATGCTGCCCAAATTCTCATGTATGGATGTTATGCTGCCCTAATTCTCATGTATGGATGTTATGCTGCCCTAATCCTAATTCTCATGTATGGATGTTAAGCTGACCTAACCATAGTTCTCATGTATGAATGTTATGCTGCCCTTTTTCTTATGTATGGATGCTAAGCTGACCTAACCATTATTCTTATGTATAAATGTTAAGTTGACCTAACCATAATTCTCATGTATGGATGTTAAGCTGACCTAACCATAATTCTCATGTATGGATGTCAAGCTGACCTAACCATAATTCTCATGTATTTATGTCAAGCTGACCTAACCATAATTCTCATGTATGGATGTCAAGCTGACCTAACCATAATTCTTATGTATTTATGTCAAGCTGACCTAACCATAATTCTCATGTATGGATGTCAAGCTGACCTAACCATAATTCTCATGTATGGATGTCAAGCTGACCTAACCATAATTCTCATGTATGAATGTCAAGCTGACCTAACCATAATTCTCATGTATGGATGTCAAGCTGACCTAACCATAATTCTCATGTATGGATGTCAAGCTGACCTAACCATAATTCTCATGTAGTTATGTTAAGCTGACCTAACCATAATTCTCAGGTATGGATGTCAAGCTGACCTAACCATAATTCTCATGTAGTTATGTTAAGCTGACCTAACCATAATTCTCATGTATGGATGTCAAGCTGACCTAACCATAATTCTCATGTAGTTATGTTAAGCTGACCTAACCATAATTCTCATGTATGGATGTCAAGCTGACCTAACCATAATTCTCATGTATGGATGTCAAGCTGACCTAACCATAATTCTCATGTATGGATGTTAAGTTGACCTAACCATAATTCTCATGTATGGATGTTAAGTTGACCTAACCATAATTCTCATGTATGGATGTCAAGCTGACCTAACCACAATTCTCATGTATGGATGTCAAGCCGACCTAACCATAATTCTCATGTATGGATGTTAAGTTGACCTAACCATAATTCTCATGTATGGATGTCAAGCTGACCTAACCATAATTCTCATGTATGGATGTTAAGTTGACCTAACCATAATTCTCATGTATGGATGTTAAGTTGACCTAACCATAATTCTCATGTATGGATGTCAAGCTGACCTAACCATAATTCTCATGTATGGATGTCAAGCTGACCTAACCATAATTCTCATGTATGGATGTTAAGTTGACCTAACCATAATTCTCATGTATGGATGTTAAGTTGACCTAACCATAATTCTCATGTATGGATGTTAAGTTGACCTAACCATAATTCTCATGTATGGATGTTAAGTTGACCTAACCATAATTCTCATGTATTTTTGATTCAAAAGTTTCAGGCTGTCTGGGACTGGGTGATTCAAAAGTTGACCTTGACCTTTTGTTTCAGGCTGTGTGGGACTGGGTGATTTTACTGCTGGTGCTTTACACTGCTGTCTTCACCCCCTACGCCGCGGCATTTTTGTTAAAAGAGGACGAAATTCGCATGAAACTTAACATGGCGCCAGGTTCAAGGTCAGTTACTTCAATGGTCAATCCGCCAAAGTACATTGTAAAGGGAACGTTAGCGTGAGCAGAGCAGTGTCAATGGGTTAGGGTTAAGTGTGTGTGTCTTGAGGAGGGGGAGGGGGGGTACGGGTTATGGTAATGTGTGTGTGGGGGTTACGGGTTAGGTATGTCCGTGGGCTAAACTTATCACACTCTGGGGTTAGGGTTAGGGCCATTAAATTAAGAAGCAGCTCTTGACAAAAATCCGCCCATGTGGCTGAATGTTAGCAAAAATAGGGATCTTGTCCAGCTCCACCACTAATGTGTCAAGTTCACAAGCTAAAACTTAAACCTTAAACATTTTGCCAGCTCCTTTTTAATGCACACACGAAACTCTGGTGCAATTTGACCTCTCAGACCCTAACCCAGGACGCACAATCAGCTGATCCTAACCCAGGACGCACAATCAGCTGACCCAAACCCAGGACGCACAATCAGCTGACCATAACCCAGGACGCACAATCAGCTGACCATAACCCTCACCCAGGACGCACAATCAGCTAACCCTAACTCAGGACGCACAATCAGCTAACCCTAACTCAGGACGCACAATCAGCTGACCCTAACCCAGGACGCACAATCAGCTAACCCTAACTCAGGACGCACAATCAGCGGCCCCTAACCCAGGACGCACAATCAGCTGACCCTAACCCAGGACGCACAATCAGCTGACCCTAACCCTAACCCAGGACGCACAATCAGCTGACCCTAACCCAGGACGCACAATCAGCTGACCCTAACCCAGGACGCACAATCACCTAACCCTAACCCAGGACGCACAATCACCTAACCCTAACCCAGGACGCACAATCACCTAACCCTAACCCAGGACGCACAATCAGCTGACCTATCTAGCAGCACGGCACGGGGCGCCAACCGTACATTACACCAAGGTGCCGCCCCTGGATATTAACTTTGTTTTTGTAGCAGTAAGCTTCCATAGAGTCTAGACATCCAGGCGACCTATCCCTCTAAGCCATACCATGCAATCTAAACATGAAAACCAACATAACCAACACACCCAACCACCAACCTAACCACCTAACAAATGCCCTATATCCAACTATTCAAAATAGCAACAAAATCCAAACAGAAAAAATAGCCACGAAATATGGCGACAAATCCAATCACCAAATTTAACCACTAACCATCAACCCAACTCCCAACCCAACCCCTAAACCCAAACACCGAAACCAACCAACCACCCAGCCCAACCACCCAACCCAACCACCCAACCCAACCACCCAACCCAACCACCCAACCCAACCACCCAGCCCAACCACCCAACCCAACCACTAAGCCCAACCACCCAACCCAACTCCCAACCCAACCCCTAAACCCAAACACCGAAACCAACCAACCACCCAACCAACCACCCAACCCAACCACCAAGCCCAACCGCCCAACCCAACTCCCAACCCAACCCCTAAACCCAAACACCGAAACCAACCAACCACCCAGCCCAACCACCCAACCCAACCACCCAACCACCCAACCAAACCACCCAACCCAACCACCCAGCCCAACCACCCAACCCAACCACCAAGCCCAACCACCCAACCCAACCCCTAAACCCAAACACCGAAACCAACCAACCACCCAACCAACCACCCAACCCAACCACCAAACCAACCACCCAGCCCAACCACCCAACCCAACTCCCAACCCAACCCCTAAACCCAAACACCGAAACCAACCAACCACCAAACCAACCACCCAACCCAACCACCCAGCCCAACCACCCAACCCAACCACCCAACCCAACCACCCAACCCAACCACCCAACCCAACCACCCAACCCAACCACCCAACCAACCACCCAACCCAACCACCCAGCCAAACCAACCAACCAACCACCCAACCCAACCACCCAACCCAACTACCGTGTCTGTCCTCTATATACAGAAACACAAATGCTGACACGATTCGCATCGACCCTCTAGTCATCGTGGATCTGATGGTTGATCTCATGTTTATCGCCGACATCCTCATCAACTTCCGCACGACCTACGTGGAGAACGGCGAGGTGGTTAGCGACCAGCAGAAGATTGCCGTCAACTACGTCAAGGGCTGGTTCGTCATCGACGCCATCGCTGCCATACCCTTTGACCTTCTTCTCTTTGGATCTGGAACTAGTGACGTAAGGAACCTATCTAGTCATGACAGAGATGACATTGTTTGACATCGGGTGACATTATGTGACAATATGTGACATTGTGTGACATTGTGTGACATTGTGTGACATTGTGTGACATTGTGTGACATTGTGTGACATCTGGTGACATTATGTGACATTGTGTGACATCGGGTGACATTATGTGACATTGTGTGACAATATGTGACATTGTGTGACATTGTGTGACATTATGTGACATTGTGTGACAATATGTGACATTGTATGACACGGACGTGTGATGTCTTCTTATTCACTTTAAACACATTAATATACCAAAATCAAAAACATCTTACAAGTAAGACATTAATGTTTCAACAAAAACATCTTACAAGTAAGACATTAATGTTTCAACAAAAACATCTTACAAGTAAGACATTAATGTTTAAACAAAAACATCTTACAAGTAAGACATTAATGTTTCAACAAAAACATCATACCCTAACCCTAAACCATTCACGAATCAAGCTTACGTCTTTATATATTTTTGACCAGCATATTTTGTAGTGGTCATGATTAATTCTAACCCAAGATAAGTTTGGACTAAATTTGTCTGGTTTGTTTTCTCAGAATGGTTATATATTGCAATGAAGTAGACCAAATTACTCAGTTAGGATATAGATTATATATATATATATATATATATATATATATATATATATATATATATATATATATATATATATATAAATATATATATATATATATATATATATATATATATATATATATATATATATATATATATATATATATATATATATAGGGGCCCTAATTTTCCCCATAAAATAAAGTTTATATAGGGAAATGCAACTGGTCAGTTTTGACCCCTTTACGAAGTTTTCCCAGATATGCCGAGTTTTTTGTGACACCCCAAAGCGTTCTCCTATCACCTCACAAAATTTCAAGGGGGGTCGTCGGAGGAAATTTTTTTCGTAATATAGCTCATATAAAGAGAATTTCACTCGCGGTCACCTTTAACCCTCGTCGAGAGCTTTGAGTGAAACCGACAGTTTTCCCTAAAGGTCAAACCATTTACCTAAGAGTATGCAAAAAATTAGCCAGATATACTGAGTTTAAGTGCCCTAAACTTCGCGTCGAAATGACCCTCTGTTTTTCCCATAAAATACAAAGATTATATAGGGAAATACAACTGGTCAGTTTTGACCCCTTTACGAAGTTTTCCCAGATATGCCGAGTTTTTTGTGACACCCCCAAGGCGTTCTCCTACCACCTCATAAAATTTCAAGGGGTGTCGTCGGTGGAATTTTTTTTCGTAATATAGCCCATATCAGGCGTCGGTCAGTCGAGGTCAGTCTTGACCCTCTCTCCGTGGACTTTTCGGCCAACCGTCACCGGCCCTCGTGTTCTATTGCCCCAAGGCACCATCGTGCCAAATTTGACGCGCCTGCGGCGCCGGGAAGTGCCTTATGGGGCACCCGACTACTTTGCTTTAGATATATATATATATAAATATAAATATATATATATATATATATATATATATATATATATATGTATAAATATATATATATATATATATATATATATATATATATATATATATATATATATATATATATATATATATATATATATACTAAACGTACTACAATGTATGCTAAACGTACTACAATATATATACTAAACGTGCTACAATGTTTGGTCAGAGTGTTCATATCGGGGATGTTTTGGTCATAAATTATTTGTTTGCAGTTTAGTTTTTATATTGACGCAATTTAAAGGAAACTTATTTTATATTAGGTTATTGCGGATTTGATACATTGTCGTTTGTTTATCAACCCAAGTAGGGTCTATACTTTATTTATCAGTGCAAGTAGGGTCTATACTCAATTTATAAATGAAAGTATATTTGATACGTGAATATTAATTTCCGATCGTTTGGTTAATTAATAAACGGCTTAGTGCAGATCTAATTACATCACATTAAAAGACATTAATGCAGGTATCATTACATCACATTAAAAGACCTATTAATACAGGTCTAATTGCATCTCATTAAAATATATTAATGCAGATCAAATTACAACACATTAAAAGACATCAATGCAGATCAAATTACAACACATTAAAAGACATCAATGCTGATCTAATTACATCACATTAAAAGACATTAATGCTGATCTAATTACATCACATTAAAAGACATTAATGCTGATCTAATTACATCACATTAAAAGACATTAATGCTGATCTAATTACATCACATTTAAATCTTAAAATTAAACAAAATTTAGCTTTAAAGCTCTCTCGAACAAACACACATTTTATTTTCAAAGATTTTAAACTTGACCATTTTGTTTTTAAACTTGGCCATTTTGTTTTTAAACTTGACCATTTTGTTTTTCAACTTGACCATTTTGTTTTTAAACTTGACCATTTTGTTTTTAAACTTGACCATTTTGTTTTTAAACTTGACCATTTTGTTTTTAAACTTGACCATTTTGTTTTTAAACTTGACCATTTTGTTTTTAAACTTGACCATTTTGTTTTTAAACTTGACCATTTTGTTTTTAAACTTGACCATTTTGTTTTTAAACTTGACCATTTTGTTTTTAAACTTGACCATTTTGTTTTTAAACTTGACCATTTTGTTTCGTTTGGCCTGTTCTTCTATGGGACCACACCAACCAGTTGCATATTGAGGTAGGAACATTGTAGTAGTATTTTACTTTGGAAAAATCATATTGACACGCTATTTAATTAAAACACATCTTGTTCTGAGTTGCAAATCAACCAGCAGTACTAACCAACAAATAATATGTAGCCTATACTTCTTCTCCGTCATTGTTTATTGATCAACTGCATTATCTTTTTACAGGAGTATAAGGTGGGTATAGTTTTTCAATGGGCTTGCAATGTGTGCATCATCCACATAAAACAGTTGTAATTTAAACTATTTTACAATACTTGACCAAAGTTCGTTTTTGTTTTAAATTTATAATATGTTTTCTATTATACCTGTATGTATACGGGTTTTATAAAAAAAAAATATAAATGAAACTTAATTCGCTATGAGTATGTCAGTACATATGGAAATATCTGAGCCAATTTTTGTTGTGATCAATTGTTGTAATCGCACTCGTAAAATATAAGAGTAAGTCATCCTTATAGTTAGACAAATACCATAAATAGGTTACAGTCGAGTCGAACAAATGGATAGATTTTTTGTGTCGTCTACTTGATGTCATGCTATCGATGTAGCCTACAGGTTTCATCTTCCAAATTTCGCATATGTTTTGTCTACACTACTTGTTGAGTCTTGTCTTCGTTACACATTGTCTCCACTTCAAGGAACACGGGCTAAAATAGTTTAACCGATTGACAGACGCACAAATGTATACTGTGTTGTACTTAGTTGTAGTTTCACGTGTCATTGAATGGTAACATTTAAAATTTCATTCCTAACCTGCACCTGCATAGGGAAAGGCTTGCTAAACTGTTGGAATCCAAATTGTACATGTTAACATATTTTCCAAGTTAACATATTGTCCAAGTTAACATATTGTCCAAGTTGTCAAATTGTCCAAGTTGTCAAAATGTCCAAGTTAACATATTTTCCAAGTTAACATACTGTCCAAGTTGGCATATTGTCCAAGTTGTCAAATTGTCCAAGTTGTCAAAATGCCCAAGTTAACATATTTTCCAAGTTAACATACTGTCCAAGTTGGCATATTGTCCAAGTTTACCAAGTGTCCAAGCTAACATATTGTCCAAGTTTATCAAGTGTTCAAGTTTATCAAGTGTTCAAGTTAACATATTGTCCAAGTTGACATATTTTCCAAGTTAACATACTGTCCAAGTTGGCATATTGTCCAAGTTTACCAAGTGTCCAAGCTAACATATTGTCCAAGTTTACCAAGTGTCCAAGCTAACATAATGTCCAAGTTTATCAAGTGTTCAAGTTTATCAAGTGTTCAAGTTAACATATTGTCCAAGTTGTCAAATTGTCCAAGTTGACATAATGTCCAAGTTTATCAAGTGTCCAAGCTAACATAATGTCCAAGTTTATCAAGTGTTCAAGTTTATCAAGTGTTCAAGTTAACATATTGTCCAAGTTGTCAAATTGTCCAAGTTGACATAATGTCCAAGTTTATCAAGTGTCCAAGTTGACATAATGTCCAAGTTTATCAAGTGTCCAAGCTAACATAATGTCCAAGTTTATCAAGTGTTCAAGTTTATCAAGTGTTCAAGCTAACATAATGTCCAAGTTTATCAAGTGTTCAAGTTTATCAAGTGTTCAAGCTAACATAATGTCCAAGTTTATCAAGTGTCCAAGTTGACATAATGTCCAAGTTAACATATTGTCCAAGTTTTCAAATTGTCCAAGTTGTCAAATTGTCCAAGTTAACATAATGTTCAAGATTTCAAATTGTCCAAGTTGTCAAATTGTCCAAGTTAACATAATGTCCAAGTTGACATATTGTCCAAGTTAACATATTGTCCAAGTTGGCATAATGTCCAAGTTTACCAAGTGTTCAAGTTAACATAATGTCCAAGTTTACCAAGTGTTCAAGTTAACATATTGTCCAAGTTAACATATTGTCCAAGTATACCAAGTACCCAAGTTGACACCTGGCTGACTCGACTGAAAAATTGGGGAACACTTTTGGCTTGTGTATACAGTAAACAGGCCAGAGAACGACGTTACTATTTTAGCTCGGAGCTTAATGTGAAAACCCTAGCCAGTCAAGCGTGCCCGGAAGTCAGGCGAGCAGGAGGGCGTGGTCTAGTTGACAGCCGGTTAGTTTGCTGTGTATACCACGTGCACTAGCTTATACTAGTTGTATACTAGATGTATATTACATGTATACTAGCTGTATACTAGCTGTATACTAGCTGTATACTAGCTGTATACCAGATGTGTACTAGCTGTATATTAGCTGTATACTAGATGTATACCAGCTGTATATTAGCTGTATACTAGATGTATACTAGCTGTATACTAGATGTATACTAGCTGTATATTAGCTGTATATTAGATGTGTACCTTCGATCTGATCTGGTCAGGTGACCACTCAGTATTGAACCAAGCCTCCTGTACTTTGTTTAACGTGAGTCAGGTGACCACTGAACCAAGCCTCCTGTACTTTGTTTAACGTGAGTCAGGTGACCACTGGACCAAGCCTCCTGTACTTTGTTTAACTTGAGTCAGGTGACCACTCAGTATTGAACCAAGCCTCCTGTACTTTGTTTAACGTGAGTCAGGTGACCACTCAGTATTGAACCAAGCCTCCTGTACTTTGTTTAACGTGAGTCAGGTGACCACTGGACCAAGCGTCCTGTACTTTGTTTAACGTGAGTCAGGTGACCACTGGACCCAGCCTCCTGTACTTTGTTTAACGTGAGTCATGTGACCACTCAGTATTGAACCAAGCCTCCTGTACTTTGTTTAACGTGAGTCAGGTGACCACTGGACCAAGCCTCCTGTACTTTGTTTAACTTGAGTCAGGTGACCACTGGACCAAGCCTCCTGTACTTTGTTTAACGTGAGTCAGGTGACCACTGGACCAAGCCTCCTGTACTTTGTTTAACGTGAGTCAGGTGACCACTCAGTATTGAACCAAGCCTCCTGTACTTTGTTTAACGTGAGTCAGGTGACCACTGAACCCAGCCTTCTGTACTTTGTTTAACGTGAGTCAGGTGACCACTGGACCCAGCCTCCTGTACTTTGTTTTACGTGAGTCAGGTGACCACTGGACCAAGCCTCCTGTACTTTGTTTAACGTGAGTCAGGTGACCACTGGACCAAGCCTCCTGTACTTTGTTTAACGTGAGTCAGGTGACCACTGGACCAAGCGTCCTGTACTTTGTTTAGCGTGAGTCAGGTGACCACTCAGTATTGGACCAAGCCTCCTGTACTTTGTTTAACGTGAGTCAGGTGACCACTCAGTATTGAACCAAGCCTCCTGTACTTTGTTTAACGTGAGTCAGGTGACCACTGGACCAAGCCTCCTGTACTTTGTTTAACGTGAGTCAGGTGATCACTCAGTATTGAACCAAGCCTCCTGTACTTTGTTTAACGTGAGTCAGGTGACCACTGGACCCAGCCTCCTGTACTTTGTTTAACGTGAGTCAGGTGACCACTCAGTATTGAACCAAGCCTCCTGTACTTTGTTTAACGTGAGTCAGGTGACCACTGGACCGAGCCTCCTGTACTTTGTTTAACGTGAGTCAGGTGACCACTGGACCAAGCCTCCTGTACTTTGTTTAACGTGAGTCAGGTGACCACTGGACCAAGCCTCCTGTACTTTGTTTAACGTGAGTCAGGTGACCACTGGACCCAGCCTCCTGTACTTTGTTTAACGTGAGTCAGGTGACCACTCAGTATTGAACCACGCCTCCTGTACTTTGTTTAACGTGAGTCAGGTGACCACTGGACCCAGCCTCCTGTACTTTGTTTAACGTGAGTCAGGTGACCACTGGACCCAGCCTCCTGTACTTTGTTTAACGTGAGTCAGGTGACCACTGGACCCAGCCTCCTGTACTTTATTTAACGTGAGTCAGGTGACCACTCAGTATTGAACCAAGCCTCCTGTACTTTGTTTAACGTGAGTCAGGTGACCACTCAGTATTGAACCAAGCCTCCTGTACTTTGTTTAACGTAAGTCAGGTGACCACTGGACCCAGCCTCCTGTACTTTGTTTAACGTGAGTTAGGTGACCACTCAGTATTGAACCAAGCCTCCTGTACTTTGTTTAACGTGAGTCAGGTGACCACTGAACCAAGCCTCCTGTACTTTGTCTAACGTGAGTCAGGTGACCACTGGACCCAGCCTCCTGTACTTTGTTTAACGTGAGTCAGGTGACCACTGGACCCAGCCTCCTGTACTTTGTTTAACGTGAGTCAGGTGACCACTGGACCCAGCCTCCTGTACTTTATTTAACGTGAGTCAGGTGACCACTCAGTATTGAACCAAGCCTCCTGTACTTTGTTTAACGTGAGTCAGGTGACCACTCAGTATTGAACCAAGCCTCCTGTACTTTGTTTAACGTAAGTCAGGTGACCACTGGACCCAGCCTCCTGTACTTTGTTTAACGTGAGTTAGGTGACCACTCAGTATTGAACCAAGCCTCCTGTACTTTGTTTAACGTGAGTCAGGTGACCACTGAACCAAGCCTCCTGTACTTTGTCTAACGTGAGTCAGGTGACCACTGAACCAAGCCTCCTGTACTTTGTTTAACGTGAGTCAGGTGACCACTGGACCAAGCCTCCTGTACTTTGTTTAACGTGAGTCAGGTGACCACTCAGTATTGAACCAAGCCTCCTGTACTTTGTTTAACCTGAGTCAGGTGACCACTGGACCAAGCCTCCTGTACTTTGTTTAACCTGAGTCAGGTGACCACTGGACCAAGCCTCCTGTACTTTGTCTAACGTGAGTCAGGTGGTCATCAAAATGACCGAAGGATGACCTTCTAATTATCATTCGAGCTGTCTGTCACCTAACCATCCGCTATTGGCTAAAGAATGTAAACATTAATCCAACTCTTGTATATGCAGAACAGAACGTAAACAAAACAAAATATAATTCTTGTGGCTATGTTAACCTATTCAATCCAGAGGTGCATTTGTCTTAAGGTTGTTTGTCCACCATTTCTCAACTGAATTGTTACAACTTAGTAAACTTTGACGTCCTATTAGGACTTAGTAAATTATGAACTTCCTAATATGACTTAGTAAACTATGACTTTCTGTTAGAACCTAGTAAACCATGACTTCCTATTATGACTGATTAAACCATGACTTCCTATTATGACTTAGTCATCTATAACTTTTTAATTCCTTAGTGACATGTTAAATGGAACCTTGACCTTGTATTCTGTGATTTTTTTCACATACACTTTCAGGAAGACTGTGTCAGGTAGTAGATTATAAAGTCTGTGTCAGGTAGTAGATAAGTTTGTGTCAGGTAGTAGATTATAAAGTCTGTGTCAGGTAGTAGATTATAAAGTCTGTGTCAGGTAGTAGATTATAAAATCTGTGTCAGGTAGTAGATAAGTTTGTGTCAGGTAGTAGATTATAAAGTCTGTGTCAGGTAGTAGATTATAAAGTCTGTGTCAGGTAGTAGATTATAAAGTCTGTGTCAGGTAGTAGATAAGTTTGTGTCAGGTAGTAGATTATAAAGTCTGTGTCAGGTAGTAGATTATAAAGTCTGTGTCAGGTAGTAGATTATAAAGTCTGTGTCAGGTAGTAGATTATAAAGTCTGTGTCAGGTAGTAGATTATAAAGTCTGTGTCAGGTAGTAGATTATAAAGTCTGTGTCAGGTAGTAGATTATAAAGTCTGTGTCAGGTAGTAGATTATAAAGTCTGTGTCAGGTAGTAGATTATAAAGTCTGTGTCAGGTAGTAGATTATAAAGTCTGTGTCAGGTAGTAGATTATAAAGTCTGTGTCAGGTAGTAGATTATAAAGTCTGTGTCAGGTAGTAGATTATAAAGTCTGTGTCAGGTAGTAGATTATAAAGTCTGTGTCTTATCTCTGTTTTCACCAGACAATGACCGTGACTGGAGTTTTGAAAACTGCCCGTCTGCTGAGACTGCTGCGGGTTATCAGAAGAATCGAGGCTTTCGCTGAGTACGGCTCAGCTGTCATGTTGCTTCTGATGGTCACATTCACACTCATTGGTCATTGGCTCGCCTGCATCTTCTACGCCATAGCTACAATGGAGCGTCCACAACTGCACGCCCCCATCAGGTATATACACACACGCCCCCATCAGGTATACACACACACGCCCCCATCAGCTATACACACACACACACGCCCCCATCAGGTATACACACACACACGCCCCCATCAGGTATACACACACACACGCCTCCATGAGGTATACACACACGCCCCCATCAGGTATACAGACACGCCCCCATCAGATATATACACACACACGCCCCCATCAGGTATACACACACACGCCCCCATCAGGTATACACACATACACACACGCCCCCATCAGGTATACACACACGCCCCCATCAGATATATACACACACACGCCCCCATCAGGTATACACACACACACGCCCCCATCAGGTATACACACACACACGCGCCCATCAGGTATACACACATACACACACACGCCCCCATCAGGTATACACACACGCCCCCATCAGGTATACACACACACACGCCCCCATCAGCTATACACACACACGCCCCCATCAGGTATACATACACACACACACGCCTCCATGAGGTATACATACACACACACACGCCCCCATCAGGTATACACACACACACACGCCCCCATCAGGTATACACACACACACACGCCCCCATCAGGTATACACACACACGCCCCCATCAGGTATACATACACACACACACGCCTCCATGAGGTATACATACACACACACACGCCCCCATCAGGTATACACACACACACACGCCCCCATCAGGTATACACACACACACACGCCCCCATCAGCTATACACACACACGCCCCCATCAGGTATACATACACACACACACGCCTCCATGAGGTATACATACACACACACACGCCCCCATCAGGTATACACACACACACACGCCCCCATCAGGTATACACACACACACGCGCCCATCAGGTATACACACATACACACACACGCCCCCATCAGGTACACACACACACACACGCCCCCATCAGGTATACACACACACACGCCCCCATCAGGTATACACACACACGCCCCCATCAGGTATACACACACACGCCCCCATCAGGTATACACACACACACGCGCCCATCAGGTATACACATATACACACACACGCCCCCATCAGGTATACACACACACACACGCCCCCATCAGGTATACACACACACACGCGCCCATCAGGTATACACACATACACACACACGCCCCCATCAGGTACACACACACACACACGCCCCCATCAGGTATACACACACACACGCCCCCATCAGGTATACACACACACGCCCCCATCAGGTATACACACACACGCCCCCATCAGGTATACACACACACACGCGCCCATCAGGTATACACACACACGCCCCCATCAGGTATACACACACACGCCCCCATCAGGTATACACACACACGCCCCCATCAGGTATACACACACACGCCCCCATCAGGTATACACACACACGCCCCCATCAGGTATACACACACACACGCGCCCATCAGGTATACACATATACACACACACGCCCCCATCAGGTATACACACACACACGCCCCCATCAGGTATACACACATACACACACGCTTCATCAATAGTGAAAGGATTATGCCATATTTAAACTCTCTAACATATCAATAGTTTAACCTTTCCGAAAGTTAAACAATTGAACATATCAATAGTTTAACCTTTCCGAAAGTTAAACAATTGATCATATCAATAGTTTAACCTTTCCGAAAGTTAAACAACTGAACGTATATCGTCTCCAGTTGGTTGGACACTCTGGCTAATCAGACCGAGATGTATTTCTACCCCAACGACTCCATGTCGGGTCCGACGATCAAATCCAAGTACATCACTGCCTTGTACTTCACCTTTACAAGTCTGACCAGCATCGGGTTCGGCAACATCGCTCCAAACACAAACATGGAGAAGATATTTTCAATCTTTGCTATGATGTTAGGCTGTAAGTCAACTTTAGATCTAAACTCTAACCCTTACCCTAACCCTAGGCTGTAAGTCAACTTTATATCTAAACTCTAACCCTTACCCTAACCCTAGGCTGTAAGTCAACTTTAGATCTAAACTCTAACCCTTACCCTAACCCTAGGCTGTAAGTCAACTTTAGATCTAAACTCTAACCCTTACCCTAACCCTAGGCTGTAAGTCAACTTTAGATCTAAACTCTAACCCTTACCCTAACCCTAGGCTGTAAGTCAACTTTAGATCTAAACTCTAACCCTTACCCTAACCCTAGGCTGTAAGTCAACTTTAGATCTAAACTCTAACCCTTACCCTAACCCTAGGCTGTAAGTCAACTTTAGATCTAAACTCTAACCCTTACCCTAACCCTAGGCTGTAAGTCAACTTTAGATCTAAACTCTAACCCTTACCCTAACCCTAGGCTGTAAGTCAACTTTAGATCTAAACTCTAACCCTAACCCTAACCCTAGGCTGTAAGTCAACTTTAGATCTAAACTCTAACCCTTACCCTAACCCTAGGCTGTAAGTCAACTTTAGATCTAAACTCTAACCCTTACCCTAACCCTAGGCTGTAAGTCAACTTTAGATCTAAACTCTAACCCTTACCCTAACCCTAGGCTGTAAGTCAACTTTAGATCTAAACTCTAACCCTTACCCTAACCCTAGGCTGTAAGTCAACTTTAGATCTAAACTCTAACCCTTACCCTAACCCTAGGCTGTAAGTCAACTTTAGATCTAAACTCTAACCCTTACCCTAACCCTAGGCTGTAAGTCAACTTTAGATCTAAACTCTAACCCTTACCCTAACCCTAGGCTGTAAGTCAACTTTAGATCTAAACTCTAACCCTAACCCTAACCCTAGGCTGTAAGTCAACTTTAGATCTAAACTCTAACCCTAACCCTAACCCTAGGCTGTAAGTCAACTTTAGATCTAAACTCTAACCCTAACCCTAACCCTAGGCTGTAAGTCAACTTTAGATCTAAACTCTAACCCTAACCCTAACCCTAGGCTGTAAGTCAACTTTAGATCTAAACTCTAACCCTTACCCTAACCCTAGGCTGTAAGTCAACTTTAGATCTAAACTCTAACCCTTACCCTAACCCTAGGCTGTAAGTCAACTTTAGATCTAAACTCTAACCCTAACCCTAACCCTAGGCTGTAAGTCAACTTTAGATCTAAACTCTAACCCTTACCCTAACCCTAGGCTGTAAGTCAACTTTAGATCTAAACTCTAACCCTAACCCTAACCCTAGGCTGTAAGTCAACTTTAGATCTAAACTCTAACCCTTACCCTAACCCTAGGCTGTAAGTCAACTTTAGATCTAAACTCTAACCCTTACCCTAACCCTAGGCTGTAAGTCAACTTTAGATCTAAACTCTAACCCTTACCCTAACCCTAGGCTGTAAGTCAACTTTAGATCTAAACTCTAACCCTAACCCTAACCCTAGGCTGTAAGTCAACTTTAGATCTAAACTCTAACCCTTACCCTAACCCTAGGCTGTAAGTCAACTTTAGATCTAAACTCTAACCCTTACCCTAACCCTAGGCTGTAAGTCAACTTTAGATCTAAACTCTAACCCTAACCCTAACCCTAGGCTGTAAGTCAACTTTAGATCTAAACTCTAACCCTTACCCTAACCCTAGGCTGTAAGTCAACTTTAGATCTAAACTCTAACCCTTACCCTAACCCTAGGCTGTAAGTCAACTTTAGATCTAAACTCTAACCCTTACCCTAACCCTAGGCTGTAAGTCAACTTTAGATCTAAACTCTAACCCTTACCCTAACCCTAGGCTGTAAGTCAACTCTAGAGGCGCCAAAAAGGGTAGAAAAAGTAAAATGTAAAAGCTCATTTTTAGCTGCAGTTAGAAAATTTAAGGGGGTAGGCTCCAGAAAAAACCAACTTCTTAATTAAAACCTTTTATTGATTCATTTGTGTATATCTAAGTTAGGGTACTTGAAGGAAAATATTTCCATGCATCAGGGAATATTTTGAAAAAATGGTTGCCATGGCAATGGCGGCCATCTTGAAAAAAACATCCTTTTCTGGAGTTCTAAAATTTCATAAACTAACATAAATATCGGCTATATAACCATTGATCCTTCTTGTACTAACGCTAATAGAGTCAGCTGGCTAGTGTTTGTAACAGAAATCACTCTAGAAATATTTTTTTTTAATTTTCAAAATTTGGTGTGACGAAATTCCAATGAAAATAATGCTAAATTCAATGGAATTTCACCACATATTTTTTTGAAAATTTGAAAAAAAATATGTCTAGCTGTGTTTCGGTTACAAAAATTAGCCAGCTCACTCTATTGATGTTAGTACAATAAAGATCAATGATTATATGGGCGGTTTATATGTTACTTTAGGAAATTTTAGAACTCCACAAAAGGTAGTTTTTTCCAAGATGGCCGCCGTTTCCATGGCAACCATATTTTCAGAAGAGTCCCTGGTACATCCAAATATTTTTCCTTAAGTACCCTAACTTATACATACACAAATAAATGAAAAAGGCTTTTTAACTAAAAAGTTTTTTTCCCTGTTTTTTTCGGGAGCCTATCCCCTTAATGGCTAAAAGCCATTAAATATCGATTGGACTGTTTTCTTTATTGACTGTGTAACTGTAAAACAAATACTCTTAAGATACAGTAACTGGCCAAAAACCGCTTTTGTTAGATAGAGAGAGAGGGGGGGGGCGCTTTTTGCCGACTAAAATCGGAATGATTTATAGTGGATAGGTAAGTAGATAACCTTATCATTTATAAAAAAAACCAAGTGAATTAAAGCGTATTGAACGATTGTGTAACTGTGAAAAAAGGTGAACTAAAGCGTATTGTACGCATATATATATATATATATATATATATATATATATATATATATAAATATATATATATATATATATATATATATATATATATGGGGGGGGCGCCAAATTGAAAGTTCGTCCCGTGCGCCGGGAGGGGTCGCTACGCCTCGGATTTGTTAGTCAACAAAGTATGGCGAAGTTTTATCATATATCATATTTTAGTTTTATCATATATCATATTTTAGTTTTATCATATATCATATTTTAGTTTTATCATATATCATATTTTAGTTTTATCATATATCATATTTTAGTTTTATCATATATCATATTTTAGTTTTATCATATATCATATTTTAGTTTTATCATATATCATATTTTAGTTTTATCATATATCATATTTTAGTTTTATCATATATCATATTTTAGTTTTATCATATATCATATTTTAGTTTTATCATATATCATATTTTAGTTTTATCATATATCATATTTTAGTTTTATCATATATCATATTTTAGTTTTATCATATATCATATTTTATTTTATCATGTCTTATTAACATCAGAGCACTGGGTCTATTTTGTTACAAGTATTAGATAACCCTAACCCTAACCGAACAAAAATTATACTAGCAATATCGTTTTTGAAAAGGTAGTTTTTATTAATGGGCCAACCAAAAAATTATACTAACAATATCGTTTTTGAAAAAGTAGTTTTTGTTAATGGACCGAACAAAAATTATACTAACAATATCGTTTTTGAAAAGGTAGTTTTTATTAATGGGCGAACCAAAAAATTATACTAACACTATCGTTCTTGAATTGGTAGATTTTTTTTTCAACGATGGTAACATAAATTGTAATTATTAGATTGTTATTTGAAATAACACGGAGAGGAATATTAGGATTCCTCATGCAAAGATTAGACGCATATTTTTGAAACAGTTTATTTTCATTAGACTAGAGACTTAAGAAACTTGCACCGAACGTCAAAAAAACTTATAAAATGTGTCAAGACTTTAATTCATTTCTATGTTTTATAAATTATTTTGTCCAACGAATAATAAGAAGCTTCATCTTTACTTTCCCTTTAACGGAGTATACAGAAAGTCTTGTAATCGTGCAAGAAAATAAAATTGAAATGTCAATACCTCGACTTTTTACATCTCCACATCTCCCTTACTTTTAAAAAAACAGTTTATCAATTTTGTCCCGAAGTCGGTGTGTATGCGTGTACACTGTAAACATGCGAACATGAGCACCATTTTAGTCAAGTGGACGAAATTTCATGTAGCTATGTATACGATTGTATTCTTACATCACTTTTACACTTACGACATGTATAGTATGCATGTTACGACATGTTTGGTATGCATGTTACGACATGTTTGGTATGCATGTTACGACATGTTTGGTATGCATGTTACGACATGTTTGGTATACATGTTACTTTTTTCGGAAACGAAAAATGTCATTGAAAACGCATTTTTATCCAGAATCGGTATTCAAACCGGATTTAACCTAACTCTACACGTAGTTACTGCACATTGATACTAAATATTGTCGTAGCCATACCCCTAAACCTTGCATCTAAGCTCAAACCGGATTTAACCTAACTCTACACGTAGTTACTGCACATTGATACTAAATATTGTCGTAGCCATACCCCTAAACCTTGCATCAAAGCTCAAACCGGATTTAACCTAACTCTACACGTAGTTGCTGCACAACGATACTAAATATTGTCGTAGCCATACCCCTAAACCTTGCACCTAACCATAACCCTAACCCTAACCCCTAAACCTTGCACCTAAGCTCAAACTTGACAAAAGTGCCATTCAGAGTTTCTTTCAGGCAACTATTCGGGAGGGTGGTGGGGGGAGCATAGCTCATCGAAGAAAGTCAAAACCCCTATAACGACATATGTACTAGAGTTCACCCCCCCCCCCCCCCCGGAAAACTTCAAGTGCCCCCCACCTCTCAGAGATAAAAAAAATCTGAAAGAAACACTGGTTGCTTTTGGAGACTAAAGGTAGACCATACTTCTCTAATCTAGACACGTTTTCTATTTTTGGCCGCTAAACCTTACTCACGCAGTGTTTCTTTCAGACTTTTATCCAGGGGTGGGGGTAGGAGGTGGCGCACTTGAAATTTTTAGCAGGGGCGAA